CCCCAAAACCCCAAAACCCCAAAACCCCAAAACCCCTTATCCCCTTCCAAAACTGAACGTTCCAAATTTTACTTATCTATTACCACCCTTTGCACTAGAAGCCCTCCTTCTTTTGTTCTTGCCTACTTTATTCTCTACATGATAAGCTACTGGGCTTACTGGTCCCTTTAACGAATGACTTGTAGTTGAACGGCACTATAGTTCGATATTAACACTTAGAGATGTATATTAAAATCGTCTTCTTGCAGGCGCAATACAGCATGAATTTAGGCAGAACGAATTGACTATTTTTGTTAAGGGATTTAAGAAGTAGGGGCATTGGCTGGAAATAGGGTTTTTGAGTGGGAATTTTGGAGGAAAGGGATGTACCATAGCTGTTTTTGTGAAGGTTGAGTTTTGGATGGGAGGGGAGTCGTGGTTTTGTGGAGTTTTTGGGATTTTTGACTAGGGATTAGGGGAAGAGTACTTTTAGAGGGATTTTGGGTGGTGAATGGGAATTGTTGGGTGTAGAAATGCGCTTGGTCATTGTGGAGATAGTTCTCTTTAAAGGAGGAAGTGGTCATAGGAGCTTCTGAAGGAAGACAGCCAGAAGATTTGAATGGGCTGAAACACTCTGCCTTTGTTAGAGATTTTCTAAAGCTTGTTTTCTTAAACCTTACTTTTTATTTTTAAATCTCTTATTCCTGCGATTTGGTGATAAAGGATTACTACCAAGAGGTTTGAGCAATAGCTTTACTGAACTATCAGCCTTTTTCGATCCTTTTGACTTGCTCAAGCTCCTATCTTTCTTATGCATACTCTTTGACCTTTTAAGTTTGCGTGACTTTCTTGAAGGCTTGCTAGAAACAGACATATCCTGAGTAACAGAACTATTCTTTTTGCCTGAGAGAATAGTGTTTATAAAAGATGACCCTTTTGTCATATTCCTAGAAGATTTAGTTGAAACTTACTTGAAGGAATCCTTATACAACTTCTTGCTTTGGACACCTAGCTTAAAGCTATCTTTGCTTTTAAAATTCTTGTAGAGCTCTTTTGCCGAGTCTACCATGCTTAATCTTGGAATACTGTCGAAATTGTATCCGATTGTATCCCCGTGAGGTCTATATTATAAATATGAGTTCTGGTTACTCAATAATTTGGAAAGATGAAGACATTCATTTAATGAAAGGAAGGATATTAACTGATGAATGAAATTTTTCACCATCATATAAATAAGGAACTAATAACTTCAGGTTCTTTTGAGCCCAAGAATGGGAACTCAACTTACGTATTTCAGTCCCTGTGTCCTTTAGGGGTTCATTTCTCGCTCATGAAGTTATAACTATTGATATGCATGCCTTCTGCATTCTTATGTTTTCCCAAATGAAGATGCTTGTGAGGAGACGCCATATTTTTAACGTTCATTATTTCTCAAAATCCTTTGATCCTTTTCACACTTTTTGGCTTGGATTTAGGATGAGTGCTTCCTTTGTTGAACAAGATACCGAAATAATTATGATCAATTGTGTTCCGGTGGGTGATTCCCATAGTGGCAGCAGTCTCTTCACTAGGCTCTGCATCCATCTTCTGGGCCATTTTATGAATAAAGCTGTTCTTTTTATGGAATGATTTTCTGGTCCCAGAACTATTCTTCTTACTTGTTTTCTTTTTCTTCTTATTTAGCAATACTTCCATCGTTGCTCATTGAGAGGGAGTTGAGCACTGAGTCTAAGTGGTTGTCATTTCAGATGAAATGTCGGGGGTTTATTATATCCTTCATGATCGGATAGGCTTGAGGATTCTGATTTGATGCACTGTAGTTCCTATAATTATAACTCCCAAGAATACCTGTGGAGATCATGGTGATGCTTGTTAGATTTATAATCAGCAGCAAGTCTGTTTTGGATCATGCTAGAGTTCTTTGAATCATCCTTGGGCAAATCTTTAAGAGCAAGACTTCTGTGATGAACCATCACAGGCCCCTTTTTAAATAATGATAAGCTCTTAAATGATTCTCTCTGGCTGTCTACCTTGCCTAACCTTTGCTTTGCTTTATTTAGGATGAAGTGGCTCTCACTTAGACTCTACTGATTGGATCTTCTTTAGGAAAGGGATCTTGACTGACTCTTCATTTCTATATAGGTTATTCTGGGCATCTTACTCCTCTTCTTGCTCAATAATTGCCAAAGAGTCTTCACTCTCCGAATCAAAGTTTGGATTGTAGATATTGTGAACTTCAGACTCAAATGAAATGTCTTCGAGAAGTTGCTTTCTAGTCTTTCTTTCATGTAATCATGAGAAATCAAGTATTTCGTGGCAAGACTCCTGGATTTCAGGCACAAAATCATAATTCTCTTCAACAACAGTTTGATCTTCTTGGGAAAATTTAATTGATGAGCAAGAGAAATCGCCCAAACCAGGCAGTTGGCCAGGGAAAAGCTTCTGATTTTCTGGCTCAGGGTTTTTCTCATTCTGAGGCACTTTCTTAGGTTCAGGGACTCTCTGTGGTTCAGGAACTTCCTGAATTTTAGGCTTCTGAACCTTGGGAGCAGAATTAAAGTTTGGCAATCTTTGTACCTTATTATGGTTCTTGTTAAAAGACTCATCTAAGTGCTTAATAATTTTATTTGCTCTAATTCGAGGCATGTTCTTAATCGGTGAATCGTCATAATTTGCAAGGATCCTTTTGAATTCTTCATTAATTTGGCATAACTGTTCAGCTCATTGATCAGAAGAGTCATCACAGAAGTCTTTGACCAACTTGAGTCTCTCAAAATAAGCTCAGATTTGAACTGGTGGTCAGAGCTTGTTTGTGCAAATTTTTGCAGACTCGAAATTTGCTTTAGGTATGCACTCAAATGTATTCTTAACAGTATGTGATTTAGATTTCTTCTTTACTTCTTCAGTTGATATTTCAGCTCGTGACTCTTTTTCTAATTTATTTTGAGATTGAGTGAATCCAATGAACTTACTTTTTATGAGTGGAATTACATTTTTACTCTTTTTATTATTCATAAACAGCGCTTTTTGTAGAACTGAGTTGTTGCTGATTATTCCAGAAGTATCATTTGCAAACGAAGATATTTCGTTACTTATTTCTATATTTCTAGCATTGATCCTGACAGTAATTATGATTTTATTTGAACAGTATTTTGATTAAAAAGACAAAATAAACAATAAATTTGCCCCATCTGAGCCTAAAAGATGACCAAATGACAAATAAAACTCTCTAAACACATAATTCCTGATCCCTTTCCCCCATCTCCCAAAGAACGTCTAAACCCCACATCTGTTGTAAATCTCTGCTCTATCTCCCCCACTCTTCATACCCACCACATGAATACTACAAACCCAGCCTGCTTATACTAACATCACTCTACTTCTGCACTTACCACTAATGTCTAGGTCTATGTCCATTATATAATAATTTAAATTCGATAGTTTGAATAAAAGAGGGGTTTTGGGGTTTTGGGGTTTTGGGG